ATCCCACTTGTGTTTATCGGCCAGGCTGGCACAATAAACTATCTCATTTTGTCTTTTAGCTTATTTAAATTTTATTGTTAAGTGTGCATCTTGTAGGCAGCATACTGTTGGATCATCTAGTTCATTTAATCTATTTGCATTCAATGAAATTATTGATAGGCATGAATTTTGAGAGACCATTCTCTGGAAAAGGTAATTATACTTGGTAGAGAGTTATGAGAAGGAGGAACACTGTCAATGAGATGAATTGATACAGTGGCTATAACAGTGGGCTCAAACATTATGACAATTTTGAGGATGGGGCAGGACTGGGGCAGTGTTTCATTCTGTGGCAGATAGGGTCATTATGAGTTGGAACTAACTTGATGCCACCCAACAGTAAGATAACAATATGAATATACTGCTGTGTGTATATGTGTTGCTTTTGCTGGTTTCTTTGTTTCTTATACTTTTCTTTGCTGAGTTCTTTTTGTTTATATAAATTTTCTTTTGTTGCTGTTGATTTTGTGTTTACCGAATCGTTATGATTTTTGTCTTTTTTATTTTTGTGAGGTTTATTAGTATTTCTTCTGAGTACCCTATTTTCTCAAGTGGTTTTAAACTTCTTTCTCCTAACATTGGACTGGGTTGTGTGGCAAGGTCACCCCTGAGTGATGCTCCAGCAGAGTATTTGAAAGTGGCTGAGGTTATGGCCGTCGGACTGGCATCGTGGAAGAAAGTGCCTCCCTGGCTTTGGTGATATTGTACTTTGTTTAATGTCTGATAAACTTCCAGTTTTTGTACCCCCTTTTATATTCATTGTAAGGGTACTTTATTTTTCAGTTTCTAAGTCCTTGATCTCTTATGAAATTGCAGTGATGTTTGGCTAGGTTTTGGCAGAAGTATTTGAACTACTATAGGTTGATTTTATGGAATATTTTGACTATATCTTCCAATGTTCTGATAAAAATAAAAGTCTTTAGTTAACAACTGCCTTTTATTTTTCATATGCAAAATAAATGGTTAACTGTGACATGTGGTTGCTCTATTCTATGGAAGGCGAGTGAGCCAAGCTTTCTGTTTGTTTCAGTTTAATTTTTTCTGTTAGATGCTTCCAAATCTGGAACCACAGTTCAGTTCAGTTCCGTAAATGTTTATTACTTTCGGTATAACAGCTTTGCTTTATGTTCTGGTTGCTTTCCTGAAACCTCATACCCAGATAATCTACAATTTTCATTGTTTTGTAAGTTTTCATGTTAGCTAAAGCCTCTTAATGCTTGTTTTTCTCATCTGCAACTGGGGAACAAAATTATCCTGTACCAACATATGAGATAAAGTTTGTTTTGCTGGTTTATCACTTGAGAAGAGTCATTCTCTTTGATTAGATATTAAACTCTTGAGGGCTGAGGGTTCACAGAGAGAAATTCTTGAAATTATTTTGTACTTTCCTCAGTTCTTAGCACTTTATCTTAAGAAAAAATCCACACATTTACAAAAACAGTAAGATAATGAGACGCCTTGTATTTATCACTACTTCAACAATTAGTTTTACTTTCTAGTGGCTAGTTTAAGTTATAAGTTTAACCCCACCTTTATACTAAATTTTAAGGAATTCTCAGATGTGTCTATTTTACCCATAAATAATTACGTTTCTTTTTAAGGAAATTTAGCCACACTATCATTTTAACAAATAAGATAATTCCTTAATATGATAAGATATCTAGGCAGTTTTCAAACCTCATCAGTTGTCTCATAGATGCTATTTTATAGTTGATTTTTTCCAAATAGAAGGTAACCGGTTCTGGACGTTATACTTGATCTTACTTATTATGCCTAAGTTTGTTTTCATTTATAGGCTTACATTTTCTTTTTGTGTCTTTCTCCATTGTTTGTTTAAGAAATTTGGTTGATTATGAAGATTTTTCACACAGGGGCTGCTGTTAACTTTTTTTTTCTCACTCCTATTTTCTGTAAACTTGTAATTACATCTAGAAGTTTGATCAACTTCAGATTTGATATTTGGCAGGAATGTTTTCTTTTTGGTGTTATGAAATTCAGAACCATCATATCTTGGTGTGAGAATCATCTAGTTATTACCTTTTTCATAATGTTTATTAATGTATTTACGTATTATTATGAGACCCATCTGTTATAAAGATGTCCCTCAGACTTTCATTCAGTGTTTATAATAATTACTAATTACCGTTGTCTAGATCCAGTAATTTGTTGAATATAAAAAGTGGAATTCTAAATATTGACACATGGAGTATTTGCTTCTTTTAATTAGTAAACCCAGAAGTGAAAATAATATTGTTGACTGATATCACTGAATTGCTTTATTAGTACCAGATGTATGTTTCTAAGGTTCTTAGTGTTAAAGTTTTTATGGACCATGGCTTTTCTTTTTCCCTGAAGGCCTTTTTAGTAAAAATAACGAGAAAAATCCGCATTTTGTGTGGATGAACTAAATATCTTATATTTTTCTATTGCAGAAACCACTTCTCAAGAAGTTCAGTTGCTGCTGGAGGACAGAAAGGAAAATCTTACTATACAATTACATTCACTGTCAGTTTTCCACATAAAGATGATGTTTGCTACTTTGCTTATCACTATCCTTATACGTATTCCACTTTGCAGGTGAGAACGCATTTAATTGAATGATGACAATTTTGTCATCTGCTTATATCAGATAATTAAGGAAGTATTAATTTCAATTAAATATGTTAATAATAAAAAGCTTCATAGTGAAGTTTTTATAAAGTACTACAATATTTATTGGAAACATTAAATGGAGTTAAATGGAAGGGTGGTCCTTTATTTAATAGTAAGAAAGCCTAAAGAAATGTGACATGAATTTTACTTTTCATCCCTTTGTAGAAATTTTCAGCTAAGAATCTATTGTTTACTGATTTTTAACTGTATGTGAGTCTCAGTTGTTTAACCAAGTGTTTTGAATGTTAACAGAAAGTCAAAGAAATTGTGGGTGCGCTAAAAATTTTTCTAGTGGAAATTCTCTTCTAATGGTTGTATTATAGAATTGTAAAACTAGGTTTATTTAGAGTATGAAATTTAAAACTTGATCTCTGGAATTTTTTGCAATGAATAAAATATTTGCTTTGTTAAACAAAAATACTATTGACTAATTCAAGTAATTAACTGATCAGTCATGATAGATTTATTGTTAAAATGGAATATCTTCACTGTTCTGATTGTCAAAATCATGAGAATGCAGTAACTTTACCAAGGAAGAAATCATAGAACCTCTGTGATTGGAAGCTATAATTGTTGTTTGCTGTGCTTACTTTCTAAGTATATTTTGATTTCTCTTACTTCTTTTTAGCCCTACCTTATTAAGCAACCATTGTTTCCCAACTTCTACTAGCTTCTATAAAATTGGGGTCCAAGGATTCACGTTCAGTTGCCTTTTCTTTAGTACAATTCCTCTGCTGTAGCCAGTGAGGTCATTTCTCTAACCCTTTTCATTAAATATAAAACTTCATGATTCATTTAGACATTTCTTGACAGTTTATCAGTGTCCATTTACTACCGTCATCTGCATACAGTTTGAATTGCATACAATTTAATATTTATCTTTAAATGGACTTTAAAATAATCACCTCATCCTAAATTACTCCAAAGCATACTATTTTAATTCACAGTAAAACACCTATTTAAGAAAAAATGTTATCTATGTTATCATTTACTTTTCTTAATCATCAGAACGATGCATTGGAAGATTGTCTACCAGGTCCTCCTTTCTGTTGCAGGGTTTCTGTTTCTCATTGGGGTTCCTTTTAGCCTAGCTATGGTGAACTCTTTTTCAGTTCTCTGTCATGCCTTCTGTATTTTCTGCCTGTATACTTTATCTATGTGTCTCACACTCTTTTCTCTCCTCTCATCTTTGAATCACAATTCAAACCTCATTTTTTCTCGAAGGACTTTTCTGAGTTCCCAGAGTTAGGCAGGCTTCCCTTTTGTCTAATCTTTGCCATGTTCTACAGTTTCTGGCTAATCTTGACCTCACAGTTGATTATTAAAATCAACACAGGTAAATGTTTGGAAACCACCTAAATATAAGGTGACCAGATTTTAACAATGGTAAAGCGAGACAAAAGTGGGACACCAATTTCTATAAACACCTCAATGGTCTTCGTCCCTAGGTCAATGTACTAGAAGGACCATATGCACACCTCAAATTCAGCACTTAATAAAGGAAAAGAGGAATACCATTAAGGCTTACATGGATCATGGTTCATCCCCTTGGAAAAGCATCCAGTGTTAGGAAAAGAAGAAGAAGAAGAATTATTCAATCAAAAAACAAAGGACAAAATATCATTTAGAGATCATTCCAAAGAAAAGTTTGTTATATGAACACCTGCTGTCCCTGGGTGGTGCAAATGATTAAGCAGTTGACTACTAACCAAAAGGTTGCGAGTTCTAACCCACCCAAAGACACTTCACAGGAAAGGCCTGGGCATCTCCTTGTAGAATACCAGAGACAGGACAACACCCCTAGAGTGCAGTTCTACCCCTGTTCAGACATGGTCACCATGACTTCGAATTGACTAGATGTCATGTATGTCCCCTCTCCTCACAAGCCTAGTATGCTTTCTCCCCTAGGGAAGGCCTGAAGCTATGACCCTTCATTGAAGATCCCCAAGGCATAATAAGCTACACTGTCTACTTAGAAAGCCTTTAGGGACCTACAATACAAAGTCATCTTGGAGAGGGAAAATGTGTGGAACCAATAAAAATTGTCTTCAGAAATATTGGGAGAGGCTTCCTAGCTTCTCGTTTAGAAGCTCTAGAACCTTTGCTGGGTAAGGTCTTGAATAAATAGCATGCGGCTCCTGTGATAGTTACATAATCTGTTGTCAATTTGAGAGGATTAAGAGTGAAGGTAGAGTCTAGCCTGTCAATCAGGTCATAGCTTGATGACCTCAGTTGGAGGCTTGAAGGAGATAAATAGCTCACTGGAGGCGGGAAACATGCTTAGTCCCTGGGGGACATTCTTGTTGACAAGTCACATGGAGACAGGCTGATGGCGGCCAGAGCATCAGAGCTAGAGAAGCCACATGGAGACCCCTGCCAATGCTGAGATGCTTACACTGCTACTGGATCCACAAGACTTTCCAGCCACTGGCCTGTGATCTTCCTGCTTTTGGCATCATTGCATGTGTTTCGTGAGTCTGAAGAGGACTTTATTGATTGATATGAGACATATGGGCTAATACTGGACTTTTGAACTTGATCTGGACTGGGATGGGATGTTTTCTTAATGTACAATTACTATCTGATATAAAACTCTTTCTTATACCAAAAAAAAAAAAAAAGTGAGACACCATTGATAAAACTCATATCCTGGCGAAATAGCCAGATGGCAGCCGAAAACCGTATACCCTAGCTTGTCGTGCATTCTTTCCAAAAATCAGGACTTTTAAAAAATGCTGTAGGATGCAGGAAAAATTGTTAAAAATTGGGACTTCCCTGCCAAAAGCAGACTTCTGGTCACCTTACCTAAATATCATAAAATCAGAGATTGGATGATTTATTTTTGCTCCAACTAGAAAAGAAAAGCACTAAGAGTTGGCCTTTCTTTGAAAAAGCACTTTATGTTTTAAAATATTCATAATTCAAATTTGTATCATATTTGTAACCATATTAGTACGTTCTTAATGTGTCATTCATAATTATGAGTATGTGTGCATATGTTTGTGTATATAGTAAGTATTCAAGGCAGAATATTAAAAACACTAATGTACAATCTCAGTTTTGTTAAAACTACATTATATCTGTTGATTGTAATCTAGATGATATGTAAATATCTAATTTTTTTGTATTTTCTGTTTTCCAGATATCGTATAATGAACCTGTATTAAATCTTGAAGTTAGGAGAGAAATTTATTAAAATTTTATGTTACATAATTTGTTCAATTTTAGATAGCTGTTGCAGGTCTGCAGTCACTTATTCACAGGCCCAAAAGTCTTTAAAAACCAAACACTTTTTCATAGCTAATTTGGCAGCAGAGCCTAAATAAGCTTATTTCAGAATATTGGTTCCCTTAGGGTGAATCTTCAGATGTTTTGCTGCTTCAGCAATAATAGCAACAACAGTAATAATAACAGGGTTCTGTCCCTGCCCCTGGTGATGGTGTTGTACCTTACTACTTTTCTCAGATTTCTCAGGCACTGACATTTGAAGTACATCTGACCCTGGAGGTTTTAAGATAAGGAATAATGAATCTTACTCTCTTTTAGTTATGTGGAGATCTGCATGCATTATTTCTGAATCTCTGATCAGTGATTCTTTAAATGATTTTGTACTTTGCTTTTAAATTTTTATCAAGATGCATCTTCAAAAACTGGAGTCAGCACACAATCCTCAGCAAATCTATTTTCGAAAAGATGTGTTGTGTGAAACCCTGTCTGGAAACAGCTGTCCCTTGGTGACTATAACAGCAATGCCAGAGTCAAAGTATTTCGAACATATCTGTCAATTCAGTAAGTTTGCCTTCTTCCCTCACAGTACCATATTTCTCATATTTTCTTCTAATATGTATTTTGTAATAGAAATAATGCCAGCACTAGTAGGCATCAGAGGACTTGATTTCTAGATGTGGTCCAATTAGTTTGCAGCTATGGACTTCAGTTTCCTCATTTCAAAAGTGAGGGAGTAAGGTTAGATATTTCTAAGATTCTGTTTTGTACTAATATTCTTATACTTAGAAATCTGACTCTAACCATAGTACAGTATTGGTTTTAGAGCTCAGAGAGTACCATCAATTTTTAAAATTGAGATGTAATATTACTTATTTCTAAATATGACATTTAGAAACCAAGAAAATATTTGGTATATATTTTGAATAGCTACTTGTTTTTCCTTGCCATTTGTATTTTATATGTTGTTGAAAAGGTACAGCTATGGTAGCAAAAATAAGAAAACTGTTCTCATTTTGATGAAACTAAAGAAAAAATATTTTTACAGAAGAGAGAACATTATATGTATGAAAATAAGAGGGGGTAAACCAAGCGATCATTTATAGACATATATGTCTAAAAATATATAGCAAAAAATATTTTTCTCTGTAAGCTTCTGAAAAAAAAATACATCCCCAGCCCACCCCACTCACTAGTTAGTACAGTGACTATAAGATAGGGGTAAGGTTATATATTTTCTTCATTACCCCATGAGTTAATGAAAACTCTCCCAACTACTTGTTCTTGGTAAATCCAAGATTTTATGAAAGAACTAAATTTACATGTTAGGAAATTGGGAAATAAGTGAATCATATAATCAAATTCTGTCTATTGTGTTCTGTTTGTATTATGAACTTTTAGCATATTGCTTTCATATTTGTTTCCTCCATAGGGCCTAGTGCAATGCTCATATATAAAAGGTGAACTTTAAGTTCTGTTTTGAATTTATATCAGAATTCACCATTGAGTAGAAACATTGATAAAGCTTCCCGGAAAGATATACAAACTTCAGTAATTGTTCATTTTAATTTGAAATTTTATGTGTACTTTAGGAAATCGCCCTTACATTTTCTTATCTGCTCGGGTACATCCTGGAGAAACCAATGCAAGTTGGGTTATGAAAGGAACATTGGAGTATCTCATGAGTAATAACCCTACTGCTCAGAGCTTACGTGAATCCTATATTTTTAAAATTGTCCCTATGCTAAATCCAGATGGTGTCATCAATGGAAAGTAAGTTAAGAAATAGTTCATTGAAATGTTATAAAATATTTGGCTATCCTGTATAAACTTGTTGAAATACTACTATCCAAGTTAACTGGGAAAACAGGTCTTGGGATTTTTCTAGGACAAGGGATTATTTGGTGGGAGATCCATCTAAAATATGTTTCGAACTGAACAAATATTTTGTCTGCTGGTAGTAGGATATTTGGGAGAATTCTATATTCATGGAAATATGATTGTGTGCAATGTCTGTGTGCCTTGTTCATTGCTTTAAGGAAATTACAGTGTCAGAATATTAAAAATGTTTTTGACATATAGTGCCACATTTCTTTTAAATTAAAAATTTGTTAGTCACATGATCTTAAATTGTTCTATTAAGTTACAGCCTCTCAGGATTGATTTCCTAAAGTGGAATGTTAGCTGTGTCTGTTAGTCTCTTGCTGGTATTGGGAGATGTAGTTTCTGACAAAGAAATTCCTTAAGCTAAACTGTTGCTAGTGATGCAGTTGAATTGATTGGGACTCATTGCAACCTATGTGACAAAGTGAAACTGCCCCATAGAGTTTTCTTGGCTTTAATCTTTATAGAAGGGGGCCCTGCTAGTGCTGTGGTTAAGCACTTTGTTGCGTACAAAAGGTGGCCAGTTTGAACCCACCAGCTGCTCTATGGGAGAAAGATGTAGTAATATGCTTTTTAAAAGATACAGTTTTGGAAACTATGGGACAGTTCAACTATGCCCTATCGGGTCTACTCAAAGACATAAGACTATTAATAACAGTCTTTACCAAATAATCTTTACCTACCAAATCAGATCACTAGATCTTTCTCTTATAGAATGACTGCGTAGGTTTGAACTGCCAACCTTTTAGCTAATAGGCAAGCAATTAACCATGATATCATCTGAGTTCTTTCAAACTGAAGTACTGGGATATTTTTGAAGTAGAGGTAGTGCATAGTTAGTACAATTCATTTGTTTCTGGCAATTGGATAAAGTTTTCAGAAAGCTTCTGAAAGCTCAGTTTTAGTCCAGTTGCCATGAACATGCCCAAAGATGAGGATGCTGTATTCATTTAATAGAAGTAACATAAATATTTGTTACATTTTAGGAAATAATTGAATTTTTAACAAGTGAAAGAATTTATTTTTAGTTGGTATAATATTGTGGAAGTTAAACAAGTTCTTAATATCTGATTTTAATTAAAAATACATTTTTGCCAGTTAGAATTCTGTTTATACTTATGTTATTACATTCTGATTTTCATAGGACATTTTGATGTAATAGCTGTACAAAAAATGTCATAGGACATTTTGATGTAATAGCTGTTATTTAACACAATAAAACCTACAAAAGCTACAACCTGTGTAAAGTTAGAGATGAAAAACTGTCAATGATGAAAAACGGTTAGAGATGAAAAACTTAAATACCCCGTATAAACTCGAGTATAAGCTGACGCAAATATCTGCCAAGGCACCTAATTTTTTTACCACAAAAACCACATTAAAAATGTGCTGAAAAACTCGGCTTATACACGAGTATATACGGTAAGTATTTTCCACTAATACAGAACAGTAGAAAAATGAGAGGCAGAAAACGGTAAAGACCAGGACAGTGTGGATCTCACAGGTGCCACTGTCTGACACACAATTATTGTGTAATCAAATGGAAAATAAAGACATTAATACATCTTATAATGTAACAAAGCCCTACTATTGAGAGTTAATTTTCCTATAGTTTGGAAAATTCCACCTGTTAATCTGAATGCTTATCATAGTGGAAGGTATGTAACATTAAGTTTCGCCTAGAGCAAGATGCTCACTAAATTATGGAATTCAGTCACACCCGCCACCCATTCCTTTTTGAAAGTATGGAATAGAATAATAAAATCAAACCAGGAGCTTCCATAAAGATTTATTGGTACCAGTGTGTTTCTGTCATTGTGTGTTTCTATATATGTAGCCACCGTTGTTCTTTAAGTGGAGAAGATTTGAACAGACAGTGGCAAAGTCCAAATCCAGATTTACACCCAACTATTTACCATGCAAAGGGGCTGCTGCAGTACCTGGCTGCAGTGAAGCGTTTACCCTTGGTGAGTGGCAATGTATGTTTTTACTGTGCATGCTCAAAGAAATGTTTTTGTTGATTAACGTCTTTGTATTGTGTACATTTGTTTCTGACTATAAAAGCTAATAGTTACAAATAAATTGTTTACAATGCTTGTATTTTAATTAGAGTGTCATATTAATACCCACTTTAGAATAGTATACGAGGAGGTTACCCTCCCAAAAAATCCCGGATTTTTTCCCTAAAGCTATGTATTTAGAATTTTTACAAGACAACCTTTTAACTTTCAAAGTACTCTCCATGACAATACCTTTGTCAAATCTGCGATTCCATTTTTAGAAACATTTTTCATTCTCATCTGCTTGGATAGCTGACAGCACCTCCCTCATTTTTTTCTTTACCTCTTTTAAGTAGTCAAGTAGCTGTCCTTTTGTGTCCCTCTGATATCACGGAAATAAAAATAAGTTGCATGGAGTGAGGTCAGGTGAGTAAGGTCCTGGGGCAAGCGATACATGCTATTTTTTGTCAAAAACTGCCACACTGAGATGACTGTGTGAGCAGGTGCATTGTCGGGGTGGCAAAACAAGTCCCCTGTCTGCCACAAATCAGGCCTTTCTTGTCCCACACTGTTACACAATCTTTAGCTGGATTAACAGTCTGGTGAAATGAACTCCAAATTCTCCACAAGTCAACATTTTTGTCCGTTCGGGAAGTTGACAGGCATCCAGAGTGAGGAACATTTAACCTTTTTTGAAATGAGAAAACACTTGTACACTTTGAGTTCTTATAGTGCCGTCCTTATAAGCTGTAGTAAACATCACAACAGTTTCTGCAGCATTTTTCCAAAGCAGGAAACAAAATTCACAGCCACAGGCTGCTCTCTTAATTTGGCTATCACAAAAAACAAGGTTTGAGTGAAACTGCTTTTACGAATTCACTGTGACCAGAGAGAACCTTCAGAGGCAACACCACTGGGTACACTAACTCAGCATGAGTTGCTCAATGCTCTCCTAGTGGGAAAAATGCAAACTAAGAACACTTTGCTTGTCCAGTGAAATTTTGGGGTATTGGGGGTGCCCCCTTGTATACAATATTCTTATTTCATCAGGTTAAATATATATAGTAACTCATAAACCCATATTTTCTACTCTTGTAAAGATGTACAGTCCTTGAAGCCCACAAAGACAGTTCCCCTTTATCTTCTCAGTGTCATTATGAAGGGGAATTGACTTGGTGGCAATGAATTTGGTTTTGGATAATCTGGTAACATTTGGCTGTGAAATTTAGGTTTCTAATTTCACTGTTTGAACAGCACTGACACCAACTCTATCTCACAACATCTTAAATTCTCAAATGTTTAGGAGTATAAGTCTGAGCTTTCAGCCTGCCCTCAGACTGTTGAATTTCCAAGTAACTCGTGGGCAATGTAGTATTAGGCACGGTGTGAGTCCATCCTAGATGTTTTATCTGCTTCTTATGTTTCAGCAGATTTTATTTAGAATGTTCTCTTTATGTTAATTCAAATTAGCTAACTTTCCTTTGGAAAGTTTGGAAAATGTTGTAGAGAAATCAAATTGACACGTCTGTCCTTTATTTTTCATTTTTAAAGTGCTTTGAAAAATTAGTTTCAATCATACCTTTTTTGTGTTTCTCATAAAAATGTTTTTGTGTTCTTGAAATAAGGTCAATGTTTTGACAATATTTGGGGGCAGTGATGGCTACAGTTTTACTTTGAGCCCTAATTCTGTATGTTATTTTCTAAATGTTGAATGATAGCTGCAAAAGAGAGATAAACTCCTGCCTTGGTGCATGCAGGACCTTCAAAGGATGTAGCTAGTCTAGAATTAATCGTAGCTCTATTCCAGAACTCTTTCATTTATTGTACTTCTTAAGAGATAATTGTGTTATGAAAATGGGCTCTGGAACAGACTTGCTTATGGGCTGTATGCTCATGAGCTTATGGTCATGTGTAAATCAATGTCTTTAATTTTTAAAATTGTCATTATCTTTTCAAGGTTTATTGTGATTATCATGGCCACTCTCGAAAGAAAAATGTATTTATGTATGGCTGCAGCATCAAAGAGACAGTGTGGCACACCAATGATAATGCAACTTCGTGTGATGTAGTGGAAGACACGGGATACAGGGTAATTACAAATAGTCCATCAAGTTCTGAATGTTAAAAATGTGTAGGATGATAGGGAATAATTTAGCATATGTAAACTACCCAGATTCAATAAATGTTGCCATTTTATCATTTTCCTTCAGATTCTCTTTTAAAAGTGTCTTCTAGAAAGGTTGACTCCTACTGTTAAAATTATCACCTGTTTAGAATTATTTTTGTGTGAGATATAGCCAACTAATTCTGTTTTCTGTGGGTAGCCAGTTGTCTAAGTACCATTTGTTAGTGTGTCCATCTTCTGCCAATTTAATTTTTTTGTTTTCCATCCAGATATTTTATATTTTAACAGTTTTATTGGCCCATACTTTATATAGCATACATTTCAATAGTTCAGTCATATCAAGGAGAATTGTGCAATCATTACCATATCAATTTTAGAACATTCCTCCCCCTCCCCGATGGTTAAATCGCCTTTAAAATGAGTTGTGCAATCATAGTCAGTTCTAGTACTCCCTCCCCTCTCCCAGTTTCATTTCCCACTCCAGAAATCCCCCTTCCCTCCCTATCACCCACTGCCTACCCCACATCCCCATCAACCCCTGTTTCAGTTACTATCACTATACAGCCACTCCTCTTGTGGGTCACAAACCTTCAGGAACCCACAGAAACCCAATAGAAACAATAAAAACCAAATTCGAGATCAGGTGATAAGGATAAAATAATATTATAAAGAGTAAAATACAAATAATGAGTAAGACTTCTGCCAATTTTATAAAGTTGTCTCTACTATTTATCATATTTCTATATGTTTGGCTTTGTTTTTGGGCTCTCAGGTTTTATAGTCATTGTTTTTTCTTTCTCTTTGCCTACCACATCATTTAATTATTGTATACTACAAGTATTGATATCTCTTACGGCACATTTTTCTTTCTTTAAACAATTACCTTGTCTTGTTTCCATTATTCTTTCTTGTGGATTTTAGAATTAGTTTGTGGATAAACTTTTCTGAAATTGGGATCCAGTAAATTTGAAAACATTATTATATTTGGTATTGCTTTCTTGAACATTGCATATATCTATCCATTTTGGTCTTTATGTTCTTTAGTAAAGTTAAAAAAAACTTTGGAGCTGGTATTTTGTTAGATTTGTTCTGAATGACTTTATAGATTTTGTTCTAATTGGGAATGGAAATTTTTTTCCCCATTTGCTTGCCTTCTCTCCCAAATTGATTGTTGATGGTACATAGGAAAGCTATTGACTTTACTCAGGAGAAGTTTCTCTCAGTTTTCATATTCTTTTATATATGAAAGGGGCATCAGATATTTCAACAACACTGAAAAATTTTAAAAAGCTTACTGGACAAATGATGAACTTTCAAACCTATAATTTTGAACCCATCCTGTCTATTAATTGTAAACGTAGAAAAAGGATGTTCTTAGACATTGAAAGTCTCAAGAAATTCCCCTCCCACATCATCTTTATCTGGGGTACCTTGGAAGACGCGCATCACCAAAACAGAGGAGTATTATGGGAATGGGAAAATAAATTTAAGAGAAACAAAGCCTACAATGAAAGTCAAAGCCGAGCCCAGGAATATGTGTAAAATGCCCACTGTTCAACTACTGACCTTCATGAGTTTACTTTCCTAGGTTTTCCCACATTCATTGAAGAAAATAAAGTAGCAGACCTCAGTGACAGAGTATTTATTTTAGACTCAAACAATGTAAGAAAGCTAGGCTCAAGCGTGTTTGCATGCTGCTCTGTGTGGACCACTGCTACCACCAGGCCTTTACTCAGTCATTCTGCTTGTTTATCATGTTTCCTTTCACTCTCCACTCTTCAGGGTATTTTAACATAGCTCGATGGGATAAAATCAGATTATATTTTTGCCAGGCTTTTTAACATTTAATATTTGTATTCTAGCTTTCTGTGTTGTTATTTAATGAATTTTTTTTTAAATACTAGATAATCAACTCCATATGACTAGCAAGTATGTTTGCTCACTTTTTTGGAACACTGCTACTGTGAAGTTAGTAATCGGATTCGTTGCAAAACCAGTCTGTAGATTTAATTCCAAATTCCGGTGCTAACATGTACATCAGAGTAGAACTGTGCTCCATAAGGTTTTCAATGGCTGGGGCCTTGCAGAAGTAGATAGCCAGTCTTTCTTTCACTGTGGACGTAAACCTCTAACCAAGCACTGAACCATTTGCCACTACCTGCTCAATAAACATTGAATATGGAGTGGATGGATATGGGAAGTGAAATACAGGGCATATTCTTCCCATTGTAAAACATGAAATTAATCACGTCCTTGTTCTCAAATTTCTTCATTTCATGAATTCTTTCATCTCAATATCTGTCAATGCCCTCAATTTTGGTGTGAAGGGAAACATAAAACAATGCTGTAGGTCAAAGATAGCAATGAAGTTCTTCCCAAAGTGCATTTTCAGGATGTTGATAGGTGTTTCATGACTCTTCCTCCTGTTCCCCTCTGGGGGTGAGGGTGGGTGGATTGGATCAAAGCTTTTATAATCAGCTAAGTCATATCTAGCTCACTGCATTAGACATTTCTTCCTTAACTTTTTTTAAAATGTGAGTCAATAACTGACTTAATGGCGCACACACACACAGAAACACAGTATAGACTCACAGAATTTGGGTTGTTAACACTTGACTGATATTTTTGACAGTTTCACATGTTTATGTTTCACATATGTTTATGTTGTTCCCATATCAAGATGGTATTACCTATATTAGATGCCTCTATAATTGTGAAACCATACCACTGGATCTGTTAGTTTCTTGAAAGTCTAGCTGCAGCTTGATTTTTCAAACTATTTTTCAGGAGTAGTTGTTAGGTGCCATTAAGTCAGTTCTGATCCACAGTGACCCTGTGTCTAGCAGAAGAGAATCCTACTGGGCCCTGTGCCATCCTCACAGTTGTTCTTATGTTTGAGCCTTTTATTTGGGACAGTTCCAACTATTTCCAGCAGAAAATTCTGATGAGTAAGAGAATCATTTAATGTTATGAATAGCTGAGATTGTAGCTTGAAGATCTACATGGCCTTGCTCTCGTCATATTTTTATTCTGAAAATGAAGAAAGCAAAACAAAAACACCACCAACAAAAAACCAAACCAACACCTGTTGACTGATTGTATTATTCTTGTTTGTTTGTTTTTGGGTGTTTTTACAGACTTTGCCTAAGATATTGAGCCATATTGCCCCAGCATTTTGTATGAGCAGCTGTAGTTTTGTAGTTGAAAAATCTAAAGAATCAACAGCACGAGTTGTAGTCTGGAGGGAAATAGGAGTGCAAAGAAGCTATACCATGGAAAGTACTTTGTGTGGCTGCGATCAGGGAAAATATAAGGTAAAGCATCTCTAGATTTTCCTTCCATATGCATTATAACAGTTTCAGATATATGTTAAATGCTAGATTTATAATGTTGAGTTATATGTAATTTGCAGTTACAGAGTTGAGTAATAGGCAGTCTTAAGAAACGACAGTTTTCTTTGTTAAGTTAACTTGCTTAAGGTCCTTAGAGACTTCTTGGTCATTTGAGCATATTTGCATTCATAACTTTTAGAAAGCATGTTGTTATACATGTTTAATTACTGTAGAGTATATAATTAGATGTGCAAATAGAGCATTATTAATAAATTTAAAACATTTTATATACTAGATGCCAGTATATGTGCATTTAAAAAAGCATTTATAAAGCAGCTTGTTTGATACATTTAGATATTTTTTTATGTGTACTTTTAAAATACATATCCATCACTACATTTGTTTGGTTTACTAAAACTACTCTTCTTGATCATTAACTTTCTTTTTTTTTTTTATTATCTTTTTTTTTTTTATCATTAACTTTCATTAGAACACCTATAGTTTAAACTTTACTTTTGAACTTATAGACTGATTTTGAGTTTTTATTTTTAAACATTGAAGAGCTTATGGTCAATGAGTTTGACATTAGATAGACGTTAATAAACCTGACTGTATTTATTTCTCTGGCCATGCTACTTAAAAGATTTTTAGATTACATATTAATTATTACATGTGTTTTGTTTTGCTTGCTTGTTTGGTATAGGGGAAAAGGATACTGAATCGAATAATGATTTATTATTACTAAAAAAATAGTTAATATTGTATTTGGAAAGGGTTAAAAATGTTCTAATGGGTTTGTAGGTAGAAATGTAAACAATTGATAGTTAATGCTTAAAATTATTAGTTGAGAGCCTAACTAATAACTTTTCCAAACTGTAATATACTGGACGAAATTTGTATAGCTTTTGCAAGTGATGTTCAAACTTTTGGGCCCTCTTTAACTAGAACATTTTACAATTCCATTACTTTTTGAGTGATTGGCTTTTAAATTTGAAATTGATGAAAGTTGAATGGTTGTTCAAAATGTGCTATCTTTTGAGCCTTCTTCAAATACTGTGGAACAGTGACTTCTAGTCTTTCAAGGTTAGGATAGTGGTGAGAGAGAAAATGCAGCATCAGCAGCACCCTTACCTTACAATCTCAGCCTTTATTGCTTTCGGGGACAGCTTTTGTCAAAGACCTCACATTTCACAAGTCTGTGGGTGGAAAGAGATGTTGAGACTCACTTTTATGTAAGAACTTAAGTGGCTCCTAGGGAAAAAACCTTTGTGCTACATGATTTTTGGAAGCAGACTCTTGGAATTAAGTGATTTCTTAAAGAGGAAATGTGTGCGGTTAGGAAAAGGTGATCAAAAGCATCATTGTAAAAATTTGCCTCTGGTCAGTGGGGCAAGAAGTACCATAATTTTGTGTTTTTTCACAAATCATATGTGAGTGATCTGTGTTTTTTGCCAGCCTCACCTCCCCCCCAACTATTTTTATAAGCACTTTATGCAAATTTGTAACAACAAATACAAAGTCAGAGTGCCTTATGAAAAGAAAATACTTTATGAGACCAGGGCGGGTACAGCTGGGGAAAGACAAAAGAGAATGCCAGCACCGTTTGTGTATAAACAGGGTAGACAGGTAGGTTGGGATATGAAAGCTCCTTTAAATCAGCTGTAGTGCTTTCTTATTGTTTGTAGATTCCACGGATAGACTTTTGTTGTATTTTTTAAATATTTGATTTGTGTTTTGGTAACTTATATGGTCATGAAAGAACCAAAAAATTAAAACCAGTTAAGTCATATTTTGAAACAAATGTATGTTAAACTGGTTTTCTAAAAATTATATTTGTTTTAAACCTATGAACTTTAAAAAGTGAAATGGATTTCCGATTTTCATTTCATTCATGTGATTTAGTTGAGCATAATATAATATTTTATACAATGCTCAATATTTAGTTGAGCATTGATATAATATGTACTTTTAAAACTAGTTAATGCTAATAAATTGTGTGAGCCTAATAATATTTTAAGAAGCCCTTCTTTTTAATTTTCAAGAGGGTTATTGAATTATAGGCTGTAAGTGGGATTTCTTTTTATTTCTTAACCTCATTCAGAAACATGCAACACTTATTAGAGTTTTTAAATTAAGAAGAAAAATACCCCCTAGAATATTTAGGACATTGTCAAAGTCTTTATTTAAACAAAGAAATTGTTATTATAAAGGCAAGTGGTCTGTTTTGGAGGGTAAGTTTGGCAGTATTCATGTTTCCTGTAATAGCGCTCATATTCTCCTGTGTGCCCGAGGATCACCTTTGGCCTAATCATTGAAAAACTGTTGTAGCACTCCTTCTCTGCAACTCATGTGTGCTCTCTTTTCACAACAACCTTTGTTAGTAGGGTTTTACTTTTCTGTAGAGATCCATTTTTACCAGAAAGTTAATTGACAAGCAATATTATGGTAAGTCAAAAGTATTGCTACAAAACCACAGAAACCTTTATTAAACAAACAAACAAAAAACCCAGCAAAATGTGAAGCTCTTGTTTCTTGATCTATCCTCCATCTAGGTAGGTACACTCCTGAGGGCCATTGTTTCCATCACGCTGACCGTTCCCTGCAGAGTTCTGTGCTCTTCAATGTACACCGTATCAAGATAGCAATTTGGGCACCCAGGAACAAACATTGTGTTCTTTGTCAGTGTCCTTTGAGTTTTAAAAACAGAAAAAGTCTGAAAGGGAAGGATCAGGACTGTAGGCTGGGTGGGGTAAGGTTCCCAATGAAATTCTATAGGACAGCTCTTGCTGCCCATGAAAAAGGAGCAGGTGCATTTTCATAATGGAAAACAATCTCTTGGGGTAACATTCATGGGTTTTTTTTTTTCCCCTCACCAATGTAGCTTTATATTTTCCTAAACTTCTTCATAGTAACTCCCCACAATCGCCCTCTATTCTTCTAGAAAACACATCAAGGTTACCCTTTCAGAATTTCAGAGCACTTGCCTTAACCTGAGCTGACCTCTCTGCCTTGAAATTAACTAGCCCAACAGATCCCATTGGAAGGTACTGCTTTGACTGCACCATTTTTTTGAAGGCACCTTAATGAGACTAAGACAAGTGTTTTACTGAGAGAACTTGTTTGCAGCCGTCCATGTTTGGTTTGGAATAAACCGTGAACAGCTGTACTGGCAGCCAGTAGAAATACTTTTTGACCCTTACCCTTGTATTTTGATTTACAGCCTTTTTATGGTTGTATTTGATAACATTTAAGTTTTGGTAAACTAACTTGGATTGTTCATTAAGGTACCCTGGTGGTTCAATGGTAAGCTCTTGGCTGCTAACAGAAAGGTTCATAGTTCTACAAACTACCCAACCAGATGCGCTGCTGGAGTAAGAACCTGAACATTTGCTCCTATAAGGAGTACAGCCTAGAAAATGCCATAACGTAGTTATATTCTGAAGTTTTTATAAGTTGAAAATCGATCTAACAACACATAACAAAACATACTGTTTATTGATTTAAAAATGTGTAAGGGGTTGTAATAAATTCTTTTTGCTGTAGTCTCAAACACGGAACTTAGTTTACTGCTATTTCAGTGACTTATATTTGTTTAGTTCTTTTTTTGAAATGTGGATATTCAAAGTTAGCTTTGTTGCCTTATTTTTTACTTACCCTTTTAGCATGCAGTAAAAATATATAAGGTAATATTCAAGTATATATTCTGGAGCCTTATTTTTATCATCCCCAGTGGTAGACTGCAGTATATTGTGCTACTAACAGGCTCTGATTAAAATAGTTTTACCCATGAACCCCAGGAGTAACATTATCACAAAATGTTCACCTTTTTTTCCTTCCTAGAGTGCTCGTGAACATAGTTGGTATTACACTTATGAGAGTGGACGTTTTTTAGTGCACGTCATTTCTTTTGTGACTTCTCTCACTGTCATGAGTCAATGCTGACTCCTAGTGACCCCAGTGGGTTTCCAAAACTGTAACTGTTCATGGGAGTAGAGAGCCCAGTCCTTCTGCGGAGCTACTGGTGATTTCAAGCTGTCAACTGTGTGGATCACAGCTCGTCGTGTAACCACTGTACCACCAGAGCTCCTTCTTTGAATAATTTTACCTTGTTAAGAAATTACTCTTGCTAAAGTTCAGTTGTATACAACGCAATGTTCTATTTTATTAATATAGTTATAAATCTCATATAATTTTAATGGGATGTAGTTAAAGGACTACAAACTTTTTACTTATATTGTAATAATGATTTGTTTATAGGGTTTACAGATTAGTACTCGAGAATTGGAAGAGATGGGAGCAAAATTCTGTGTTGGTTTATTGCGTTTGAAAAGACTGACATCCCCATTGGAATATAATCTGCCTTCTAACCTTCTTGACTTTGAAAATGACTTGATTGAATCAAGCTGCAAAGTAACTAGGTAGGATCAACTTGGTTTATTCTCTCATTAACCTATTTTGCTAACTATTAAGAGATTGTGTTATTCTCTTATTAAGTTATTGCTAACTCTTAGAGTTCATTGAGCAGTTAAGCAGAGGAAAGGCAATGACATTTTGACAACCAAGAGCATTTTCAGAATTCATATAATTAAGTTTTCAATATTGTTCTTAATTGTGATAATATTCCTGATTCTTTTTTTTATCATGGTAAATATGTGTGTGTGGGTATACACACATATACACATATGTACACATTTGTAATCAGTTCAGTACTTTTCACATGTACCATTCAGTGACTTTGTTGAACACAATATTGTGCAGCCATCTCCACCATCCTGTCCTAGATTATCCTACCACCATGAACAGAAACCTGGTCCTCTCTAACCAATGACTCCCTCTTTTCCCATCCCTTCTGCCCAGGTGACCAATACTAAGTTTTGGTCCAGTCTTGATTCATTTAACATTGATTCTTGGATGAGTTTATAACAAAACATTCTTACATTTTGAATGCCGCTTTTACTGATTTAAATTTTTATAACTTTTAATCTAGTAATGCACAATGTCAGTAACATGAACATAAGTATATTGGATGATATCTAAATTAAGGTGTACTATACATATTTCAAAATAAATATTATTTTGTTAATGTTGACACACATCAAATGGACTGTTCAATAACCTCTGGTAACATATGTTTGAAACTGTGAATGTATTGCCCCATTTGATTATTTAATTACATTGTCTGAATAGGTATTCTTTTATAGTTTGGTGTATATGGGCAAGAATGGTTTAACTGTATAGAACTTTTGTGATTTTGGTGTTAGGTATTGATTTGCCATCAGATTTGCTAATTCATTGCTATGTACTGTTGCACATAGCAGTCTGCAGTTTAAAATGCGAAAAGCCATTGATGAAGATCCCAATCTTTGTAGACGTGGTTATTTAAGAGGGATCACCTACATTCTCTACTTTTCAGAGTGCTTGCTAAGCAATAATGTAAATGAGTATAAAGATTGACAGTTGTTTCACTTGTATTTAGGAAACCTCCTTTTAAGTTTTAATTTATGTATTCTATATTTAGGCCTCGTCTCTGGACGACCCCCCAAAGATTAAGGTATTCAAAGTATCCATAAACTCAAACTCACTGCCATAGAGTTGATAAGGACTTCATAATGACCCTATAGGACTGGGTAGAACTTTCCCTGGGGTTTACAGAAGTAAAAAGCCTCATCTTTCTTCCATGGAGCAGTTGGTGGTTTTGAGCAGCAGACCTTGCGGTTAGCAGCCCCAACTCATAATCTCCCTACTAGGACTCCTATGAACTAGAATGGAATAAAACTTACATCTTTATTTTCAATGACTTCTAGGTTGATTATTAATGTGGATAACAAGTTACAGTCGTATTAGTAATACCTGTGACTTTTCCACCAGTTGCAGATATTTTTAATATCACATTACAGTTACAGATATCCTGAAATGTCATTTATGTCTGTTAGAACTTTACAGTTACAGTTATACATATGTATTTTAAGCCCGCCACTAGTCTTGGCTGTTTTTCTTAAAGTATACATTTTAAAGAAGTCATAAAAGCTTCCATATCACAATTAAGCTTTTAACATTTTGCTAGTTGAATTTCAATATAATTGATTTCTTTGATAATCATCTTATTTTATATATTTGAAAACATTATTGAGAAAAGGAGTCCATAAACTTCACCAAACTCTCAAAAGGGTGAAGTGGGGACGATAGTACACAAAAAAGTTTAAGAACTTCCTCTTAGTTACTCTTTGATCTCTTACAAGTGCAAACCTAATAGTAAAGAATTATGAATTCAGCTCATTTCCCTGTGCAGTTTTATTCTAGCTGTTGCCCTGTTCATTGACTTGCATCGTTAGATAAGGAGTCACTTCTTTTCCATGCTGTCATTCTTCTTTCTCTCAGGTGTATTCTCCACATACGTCTAATTTGGCACTTGGTTTACTCTATTAATTCAACATTTTGTATTGACATGATTGTGTCTTCTCATCTTGCGTTTGCAAGAGATATAATTTCATTATGTATTTTTTGAAGCAATTATAAACTTAACACAAAAGCTGTTAAGTATAGTGAAAAAAAGTTTTTTTTCTTAATCTGTTTGAGAAAAATTGCTAGCCTGATGCCCTGGCCACTCCCCCTACCGTCAATACTTCAGAGCAGTGTTATCCAATAGAAGTAGAATGCAAGCCACATTGGGACATAAAATTTTTAGTAGTAATATTGGAAAGTAAAGAGAAATAGTGTAATTGTACAGTGTATTGAGCCAAAATTTCTAAAATATCATTTCAATATGTAATAATATAAAAATATTTCTTAGCATCATTTTTTTTCATACTAAGTGTGTGAAACTTAGTATATATTGTATATGTATAGCTCATCTCCTTTGATGAGCCACATTTGTGGTGCTCAATATGTGGTGAGCAGCGACTGTACTGGAAAAGTAGAATATATTTCCTATAAAAAAGAAAATTGTTCTATGTACAACTATACATCTATCCAAATCAGAAAATTAACATTGATGAAATTTATTCCATCTTAAACTTGAGATTCCATTCCAACTTTTTACTTGTTCTATGAGTGGAATTGACTCATCGATGGCAGTGAGTTTGGTTTTTAGTTTTGTAACTAAAGATCAGTGAGAACCAGGAAGCACCGTGTGACATGGATGGACCTGGAGAACATCATGCTGAGTGAAATTAGCCAATCATAAAAAGATAAATATCATATGAGATCACTGTTATAAAGTGAGGGTGTAACCAAAGGGAACAGATTTTGAAGACTGTCAAGTGGGGGAGGGTAGGATAAAGCCATGGGTTAGACTGATGGTATTTGTTAATTTGGGTTAAGAGAAGCAACAAACATGGAAGAAGCACACCAGCCTGTGTGATCATGATGTTGAAGGTATCAGGTAACCCAAGTAATTCTTCTCTTTTCATTTCCACCTTGAAATCCTTTCTTTAACAATAATCAGAACCTCCAATTCTTAAATTTTTCTGAGTGTGGTAAAACAAATCACTATTTTTCTTGTTACTCCCCTTCCCTATTGCAGGTACTTAACAAAGTGAGAGAAGTTGTAACTGCTCCCTTACTTTCAGCCATCTGTCTATCTTCTTCCAACATGTTGTTGATGTCCCTTCTTTGCTGCCAGCTTCTCTCTCTTTTCTTTGTGAATTTGTCCTTTTCTTTCTTAAAGGAAATTACTCTTTTACTATCATTTTATTGGTGTTTGAGGAGGGATCAGAAAAATGCTTCTCTTGTTAAATGCACTTACATTTTCCCCAGAAGTGACAGAACTTCTTTTCATTGAAGGCTGAGGTTGAGCATTAAATGTGTTTCATATTCCCAGGGAAGCTATTGGATGACATACAAATCATTTAGTTAAACCCAACTATTCATTATATAATAAAAGTTCCATTTGATGCAATGCTAGGTCTATATTATGTGTTCCTTAGGAAATGTTTTTTGTTTTTTCTCCTCGATCCAAGTTGGGAATGTTAGTAAAACTCTGATTAAAAAAAAAAAGTTTACAGAGATAGTGTTTCGTGCTTAACAAAATGTATTCTTAATTTACCTGTTACCTTAACGTAAGCATCTCAGTGACCACTCTTTAAAGGATTTGGGAATGAGTCTGATGAAATGTTTTATAAGATTTTTCATTAGGATGTTGGATTGGCGGCTGAAGTTCAGGAGATTGGGCATGTGGAAGAAGTATGTTCTATCGTAATTTTAGTGGAATATGTTTAGATGAAAACCTAATTGCTTACTGCCTTGTAATCAACCATATAGGATATGGGCCTAACTTTTTTTTGTCTCCCTTTGCTTCCGTTGAGGTAAAATTTACAGAACATGAAAGAAGCTATTTAAAGTAAATGGTTTTTAAATGAAAGTTAATTTTTTGCTATTTTTGTTAAATAAAGATTTCTATGATTTTGTAGCTATACTTTTTGACTTGCTGTTATAAGCTTGCTGAATTTCTTAAGTTTGATTCAAAGGGATCTGGAGATGTCAGGTATGGTAGAAGAAAGTAAGACACAAGATAGCCAGAAAACAGAATTTAGCATAAGTATATACTGATTTATGACGTGTTTGAGCTATGAGAAATTATTTTAACAACCTAATATTTGTCTGTTTACCTTATTAGTAGTATGTACTATGTACAGTGTTGCAGCATGCAATTTGCTGATGTTCACTCACAGTGTTACGAAGATACTACTAATAAAAGGCATTAATAATGAAAACCAAAATATGAGGTATTTCACTTACATTAGAACAGAACACTGTTGTACTTGCATGTACCTATACTCACAAGAGGAAATTATAGTACAGACTGGACACAAGGGCCATGCAGGAGGTTGCAACTGGGGAAAGGCAAGGGCAAACTGGAATTGTAGGGAAGGGTTTACACAAGGTGGGAGCTCTTGCTTAGTACATGCTGAAGTCTTTTGTTTGTCAGTTTAAAAATCTCTAGTGTCTTAAGTGTGGGAAAAAGGAGTTTTAGTGATGAAAACCCACATGGGGCTTGGCCAGGAGGGAAAGTGAGTAACTATAGCCTTTGAGAGACTGGGTTATATGATAATAATGAGTTTGTATTGCAAGAAACCTTATGAGGTATGCCCAGGAAAGACACAGTGACCACAAGTGTTGAGGGACTGGGTGAAAAGATATGAACGACCATGACCCAAACTAGGTTAAAGCGTAACTAGGACAATTAATCTGTGTCAAGTTCAGGAGCCCTGGTTGCCAACGTAGCAGGACACGTTGGGCTACTTCTAACCACAAGGTCAGCGGATTGAAACCACCAACCAGTCTGTCGGGAAAGACAAGACTTTCTATTCCTGTAAAGAGGTAGAGTTTCTAAAGCCCTCAGGAGCACCTGTGTCCTGTCCTATAGGGTCACTATGAGTCAGAATAAACTCATTGGCATTGACCTTGGGTTTTTTTTTGA